TCAGCAGCAACAAGAGCAGGTTCACAGAGCTTTATAGCAGCATGCAAATCCTTCAAGTGTCCCCATTTAGGCTCATTCAGGAGACCTGAATGAAAATAAAGAGACAATTATCAATTTGGACATCACTGTTTCCTTTCATGTTTTAACCCTAAAGAGAAAAATCCTAAGGTAGTAACTTATTCTTCAAACAATGACTACTGACTAAATAACTTTTGTTTCTTATTCAATTCTACCTACCATATTCATCAATTGGAGCATCATAATCATAGCTAGTGATATAGAATGGACCTCCAGAAGTCCTACCGAAGTTTGTTCCTCCAAAGTACTGCAACCATGAATCATGCTTGTCAAAGATATACCATGTCTACATGTTAAATGCAAACCTAATATGCAGCTAAACTTGAGGAATCTTGTAATAAATTTCAATATTAAACATAAATATGGTACCATTTGAAAAAAGATAAAAAAAAAAAAAAATAAGATAAAAAAAAGAAAGAAAAAAAGGAAAACATTAGAATGGAGCTTTTAAGTTTCTAACCCTGCAGCAACCTTACAAAAATGCCGCCACACCCATACTATAATGGCTGTAGTCACCACCATATGTTTACCAATAGCTTTTTCAAAGACTTTCAGTGAACCTTACACAATATAAAGTTCAGCTGCAACTTGATAAAACCTAAAAGAGGGATTCTGTTTGTGGAAACTTACAGAATATAAGGTTCAGTTGAAACTAGATAAAACTAAAAAGAGGGATTCTGTTTTTCGCTTCAACATCAAGCATTTCATTTGTAAGAAAGGAAGCAAAAACAATACTCATAAAACACAAGACTAATACAACCAAGAAGAACTTCAAACAAAGGTTTCTTGTTTCAATTTCTCACACACATTTTGACAAATACCACAAAACAATTGGGGTAAAAAAAGTAAAATATGCTAAATTCAAGTTTTTATTATTTTTTCTTATGAATTTTTTAGTGCAATTAACAATCAGAAGATGTATTAGCCCATGCATCTCTTGGGCAATCATAATCAGAACTCAATTGCAGATAGCAATAGTACCACATAGTAGTCCAGATAGCAATGATACCATATAATAGTTCTGAAAGCACCCTCCACGTTCAAAAAAGCGTGCAATTGCAAATGCAAGGTCCTCAACAGGTCTGTGAGGTAGCCTTCCACCCCACTTTGCATACCTGTTAAAAGTAAAGTTAATTAAGAATGTATTGCTCATAAACTTACCACAATCTACAATTAGCTAGTTAGTGAAAATATATAATTAAAAAAAAAAAAACACTAAGAAACAGAAGCACTCAGAATAAGTGGAGCTATTCGAAAGCACTAATATGAATATTTCTAACATACCTTAAGAAACTAGAGCATCACTAACACTTAGAACAAACTCTCATAGATCTATCATTCCATTATGTAAAATCTACCACTAGTATAGGAAAGTCTTCCATATAGCTAAAGCATTCTCCTGCAACCTTTTTGAACCCTCTCTAACAATTTTATTGACATATTTTTGTATAAATGCTTCTCATGAGTAAAATTTTTAATGTATTTCACCTCTGTCCAAAAGGTAAAATAATAAGATACTACAATGCTAAAATAAAGTGTTGAATCTTCATACCATCCATCCCAATCCTCAGTCCAAAGTATTGGTTTGTTCTTGGAATTTGCTTTAAAACCATCACAATAGTATCCATTGCAGGTATTTATCTGCAATAAGGAACAAACGGAACTATGAAGCAGCTGAGACAAGCTATTCAAATCTCAGCCTTAAAGCATAAGATATTCTGAAAAACTAGTAAAAGAAGGCAAATAAATCAAGAGGAAAATGATTTTATGCATTTTCTTACATTTGGCACAATGTGAAAAGTGAGCCAACCAAAAATATTTTCTTGGTCAAGGGAAATTCAACATTAAATTCCAGAGATTTCTTACATCTTTTCAAGAGCACTAGCTATTTTTGGGAACAGGTTTAAAATCCCATTACCATATGACTTGCTAGTTATGATTCATTAAAGGAGATTGAGTGCAACTACCATTTGAGACAACCAATGACTATTGTTGGATTGTCAATGTATCATCACCAATAAAATTCTGCATAAAGAGTCATTGCCAGTAATGGCCACAAATTTATCTATCATCAACTTTCATTAACAACCATCATTTATCATTCACTTGCTAAGCCCAATCACTAATCATTCATTTATCTCAAATATAATAAGGTTTTCATTACAAACAAACAATGAAAAATAACAAAACTGGAAAGCATTTCAGCTGAAAATGCTTCTCTTGGAAAAAACTTTTCTCATTAATTCATTTCTTTACGGGCTTGCTATTAAATATATATAAACATTGTGACGATATTCCAATAAATGGTATTGATGGGAAAGAACTTACTATGTCATATGGAGCATCAGTTTGCTTGCACATCACCCATGGAATGCCAGTGTGAAGCCCAACAGCCATTTTTGCAGCCCATTTAACATATTCCTTCCCTCTCTGGCCATATTTTCTTTCAACATCGCCATATTCATTCTCAATCTGATAAATTTCAATTATTTAATGGATGTTTTTCTAGAAACAGAACGTTTTCATTCCAAATTTCCAATCTTTGGATGCTTAATGCAATTGGGAGAAAATAGGGAATTTGGTATAGGCAATAGTTCAGTGGATTGTTGATATTGGTAATGAATTCTACAGTAATAAATACTAGTTGCAAAGCACCAAGGTCCATGTTACTTGAAACAGAAGATCATACAACCTATGCCCCTACTGTGTAGTTGTAGCAAATATGAGAAGGTGAAAAACACTCATTGAGATAGCTGAGATCCCAACAGTTTGGGCATTTTCCATTCTTCTTAGTACACTCCCTCCTGCCAAATTTCTGTTATCCTTAAAAATAAAAAAAGAAAAAAAAATAAGGGGAATTAATCTGTATTATAACCTGCATCATAATTATTGGGCCACCCTGCCAAGAGAATAGGTTTTCCTCTCGCATCAGATCAACAATCTTTGTCACAAAGCACTGCATTGCCTCCTAGAGGAAGGAAAAAAGATAGAATAAAAAAGTTTAGTGTTGTCATTTATGCTCACATTTTATTTTAGAAATATTTAAGTGGAGAATGCAATTTAGAACTAGAAATAAAAAGTTTTGGTGTTCAATAAACATTATAGAGAATGGTAAATATTTCCGAGCATAAATGCTCATAGAACCACTGTACCTTAAAAGGTGCATTGTCTGTTCGAAATTCTATCCCAGGGACATCACGAAGCCACACGGGAAGGCCCCTACAAGATGTTAGCCAAGATAGTAGTTGGAAACGTGTCTAAGGAAATCACGGTTATGGTTTTTCTTTCAATATCTGAATAACTGGATAAAGAAAATAAAATGGGAAAGATGGTCAGACCCAAAATTCCACTCTGCACAGACATAAGGACCTATACGGAGATGGAGATAGAGTCCATTGGATCCCACTAGCTTCACAAACTTGACAACATCATATCTTCCTTCAAAATTATACTGAGCAAGCAGTTCAGAGGAACACAAGTAAGTCCAATTTCTAACAAAAATGTAGAGCTACTGCTGCCATAGATTAGTTGCAGAAAAATTTTAGCAAACCTGTCCTCTAACAGGTTCATGGCCATTCCAAAATACATAAGTTTGAATCATATCTGCTCCACCTTCCTTGCTCTTTGCTATCAGGTCAGGCCACA